CAATACCGAATGCGAAAATGGGATGGAACGGTATTGCTGGCCGGTTTTAGTTTGCACAGCGATCGAATGAAGTAAGTGCCTGTTTTTGCATTTATTCCAATTCCATTCCACATGAAGTGCATTGCAAACAATCAGCTCGGGAAAGTAATTACAGCCAACAGCCAATAAATGCTAGCAAATGTGACGGCGGTTGTTAAGCTTTGTCTACTTCTTCTATACCCTCATCAGCATATGTAAGGTTGACTTAACGCACAAAATTAGTCGGGCTGCTAGAATAATGGATGTGTCTGATGAAGATTGGGATGCACAGGCCACGGGGAGAACGGGGACAATCCAAAAGAGGATTTGCTTTCCGCACCGAACACAACCGAGTGGAGAGTTTCGTTGCATAAATAGGAACAGCGTATGTCTGCTATACGGTGGTTTGGTCTCACAATGAAAACGTTGCAGGGGAGTTTTTAGCCTTGAAAACAAAGTGGGGACTCACACAAATGAATGCAAAAGTAAATGACCATCTGGACAGATATGAGACATCAAACTTTTGGCAAGAAAGCTAAAAAGTGTATTTCCATGAATGCCAGATGTTTGGAAGTCAGTGCACTAAATTGTGCACTGCTTTTCTTTCGTTAACTTTCGTCACTGACTGACCGAGCTGCCATAAGGATCAACGTGATTTAGAAGCGGAAAATACAGAATTTTAAATGCATTTGGAGTGAAATGTGTATTTCGGATCACAGTCAAACGTATGTACTGTACTTGCAAGTGATCAAATATTTAGGACGTCTCTGAGCTCAAAGGAAGCCCATGAGTGTTTATAGGCGTTGCACTCTGAAGACGTTCCTGGGCTCTTCTTTTCTTCTTGACAGCAGTTTGGATGCGAAAAAAAAAAAAATCAATCCACACGTCTCAGTCGTTTAATGTGAAAACACAGCGGTGCCCTCTCATTGTACCGTGATTTATTGTGGCCTCATTCTTTGGCAGTGGTTTTTTTCTTCTTTTTTTTAAACGATACACGATTGTGTTCTGCAGCTGTCAGGAAGGCGGCACCAGCGGGCCTGAAGTGACAGGCCACGTTCCCCCGTGAGAGAACATGAAAACCCGGCTCTCACATGGGGGCTCTGATTCAGGGTGCCATGAGATCCCCAGATGTTTCCATGAAATCCCCTGATGCCAAACACCTGCCCTGTCCCAGTTAAGTCCTCCTTATTTAAGCCAAAAACCTATGTTTGATGCCCTCAGTTTGTGCTTTATATTTACATGTTGGGTAGGCTCCTCCCACAGGCGGCGTCAGGCTTTCATCTCAGTAATTGTATCTATGGGTGAAATGTTACTTAGATCAAATAGGCATTGAAGCTCTTTCCCGTTATAATTTCCTAATCGGCTTATTTCTTGAATGTCAATATTAATCATTGCGTGGTCTTTCCGTTTATTTTTATTCCATTCATTTCATGTCAAATGCTAAAATGTTGAATTTACTTGATGCACAAGAGGTTGGTATTGAATACCACAATATGCCGTAAAACTGCTCCCATAAATACACGTCACTCAAACTTCGGAAGGCAATGCATTCACTTATATCTTCAGTCAATACTCAACCCCCGACTCCAGTGGAGTTAAGCCCAAACCGTGAGTCCTTGAAGATGTCCTAAAGATGGATTTCAGTGCAGAGTTTCATTTTGTGAGAGATTTTTGGAGGTTTAAAAATAGCCTTATTTTTACAATATGTGTATTGATAAATTGATAAACAGTTTCAGGAATTGCGTTCGAACTATTTGAAACTTTGAAGCTGCTCAGTACAACATAGTGAGCCTCACGTGTTCTGTAACCGGCCACAAGGGGGCGACAGACATGTTCTGCCTTTGCTTCTGGGAAGCTGTAACGTCTCCAGGGGTTTTAAACATGTGGAGTGTAACATTTGGCGGCATCTTACGTTAATGTTGGAGGTTACGACAAACACAAACAAATGTTCATTTCCACGCCGATAAACCTCCCAAAATGCAACACACTGCTCCTTCGAGAGCAGTCAAGGATGACGAAGTAACTACGTGTTTCATTTGATTGCTGTGCCCTGCTTGTCCTTGATGGGATTTATTTTTTTCTCAGCTGAGGTCATTGTCGTTTTTTGAAAGATAAAAGATGGATAAAGTGTGCCGGTGGATTATTTTCTGTTACATTCCTTTGCAGGAATTGATCAAGCGATCGAGGCAGAGCGGCACGTAGAAAAGGGTGAGATTGAGAGGTAATGATTATTATTGTAAACTCAGTGTTTTGAAAGTGCAAACGTATGGTGGACAGAACGACGGACAGAAATGACAGGTTGGCAACAACACAGCCGGCCAGCTTCTGTACGGAAAGCTAGACCTCTTCAACAAAATCAACATCCAAGCAGCATCTGGGATTCTTCTGTTGAAAGGATTTTGATTAGGACCCAGAAGGACCAGGAATGCGCTAATCCCACAGTGAGGGAAGAGACCGGCGCCGCCTCGTAATGCTACAGCATGAAGTTCTTTCGCTGTCAAAACAACAAGGAGTGCAATGGTTGTTTTACTGATACATAGAAGACTGTGTGTTCATGTGAAAATCTAAAGTTTTTAAAGTTGTGAGCCCATCAAGGTGAGTGACATGTGACGGACTGTGTACCTCCTCCCCCCCAGTGTTGAAGTGTCTCCTCAACCTATTCGACCAACAAGTACTTTGTGATTCTTTTCTTCTGTGTTGTCCTTTATTGTCCTCATGGTAAATAAGAAACAACTAGATGGAGAAACAGAAGAAAAAAAGGAAACAAACTGGCCCATTAACAACGGGAGCTTTGCAGTTATTATTTGGACCAAATGTAAAAGAGGAAACATCTTTGTTGATGGGCTGATCCCTCTTATGCACTCATTAAAAATATTATATAAATTGAGATTGTGACATTATTTGTCAGTCACGACTGTCGAGAAGAATCAAGGTTGGTTCGCGCGCATTAAGTGAGGGGGAAGGAGACAAGGACGCGACAACAGGCTGAAAGAGAAATCTGAGACACAGCGAGTTGAGAGAGACGGAAAGACAAGAGTCGGCAGAGGGGGGAGAGAGAGAGAGAGAGAGAGAGAGACGCAGAGACCCTCTCTCATTCATCCAATCTCACAAACAACAGAGTCAGCGGCACCGAGACAGACGAGGGAGACGGGGGAAGAAGAAGAAGAGAAAGCCAGGAGGATCTCGTTCAGTAGCGGGATCACAGTGACACAGATCTATTTACAGATTAGTAATGGTTCTGTCGGTTGGTGTGTGGAGGGCGATGGAGGGTGAGGTGGGGGCAGCAGAACATAATCACACTCACAATTACACACAAAAGGCCTCACATGCCCTGAGCAGCATGCAACACGTTTCATCTACAAAATGACATGCATGAAGATGTTGGCGAGGTAAAGAGAAATGCATCCCGTGAACCGATGAGTAACGTTCTGTCTCCTCGGCCTCTTCAATCTCTATCTGCTCCTCACATCGGGGAGCTTTAATGTCGCTTTATTCTGAAGAATGAGGGAATCTCAGAGATCCCAATTGCACACAGGACCCTGATTGATTAGCTCTGGATCACACGGCTAAAGCCTATTTAGAGGGTTTTTAACAAGGTGCCGTCAGAGGAAACATCAGAGAAAACCATTAGAGAACGCAGAGAAAACCTGATGCCCTCCTTTGTGTAATGGATGCAGCCAGGAGCTTAACCAGCTCCTCTGTTTGTTCATAAAATCCTCTCTTCTTGGTGATGAGGATGTTTTCAATACCCCAAAATGCTGGAGTCCGATCCATGATTTACATAAACTAGTGACGTGTCATCAAATAAATTCTCACCCTTTCTTGGCCAAACAACTGCAACTGCTGGAAACAAACAGCACCGAGCATTTTGAACACTTTCATCTAGTATGAAGTCTGTTTAAGAGTTGTATTGATTCACCCAAGTATTTCAATATTAGCCAATATTTGTCCAAATTCTACGCTGGCAGCCATAGAGTAACACAATGATGAAAATAGTTCAACTACATTCCTATGATTCATATGATTAATCGCGATACATATGATACAAGTATCAAAGTATCGTGATTAATCACACTATGTTGACATATATTCAGTTTCTCTGACAGACCAGATAGCAGTGTGGAGCGTGACCGTAATCAGTTGGACTGAAACCTTGGATACGTTCAAAATGAATTCCCTACCTTCACAACAAATGGGTGAACACTTTTCCCCCCACAAGCTAACATGTGGAACATTGAGGTCTTTTTAGAAGTAAAAATACAGATAAAACATAAGAGAAATAAATACTAAATATCGAGATGGACTCATCTGGTATTTGAGGCTGCATCATCTTACCAGAGAATGTACATGATGCTCAATGCAAGAACAATTAATACAGCCGGGCAAAAGCTACTGGACCTGATTTCTGTAACACGTGATCCTGATTTCATGCAAATCTGCTTATTTACTTACAGTAATAAATAGATGCCTGGATGATCAAAGGGCTAAAGATGCAACCTTTTAGCCATCATGCATCATGCAAAAGTAGCCAGCATGACAAGATAACAGTGGGATTATCTGTGAAAATGAATGAAATGTGTCCGTTTAACAACAGCTCTGTCATTCCGATGTACATAAAAATGGACAAAAACGTGACAATAAACCTGTGCTCAAACTGCGTGGTCAGTGTGAACATACTGCGCATTGCACTGAACACAGCCGATGATTATCAAGTCCACTAGAGACACAAAGTTCTGGACCAAGTGCTGACTTTTAAGTGGAAGACTTTATGGGAACTCTGCAATTAGAAAACTTCAACCAATTAAATCTGCTGCTGGGATCAAGCTGCTGTACCGCTTTAATCTGCTGCAGTGCTCCATCCAGCAGTTGCCTGACAAATGAAGACCGTGAGAAGTTTGTTTAATTGTTTGGTTTTATTATCTGTCTAACTGGGTGTGGAGCGGGGTTGGGTGACTGAGGCGGCAGCTCTCCTCCCAGCGCTGCTCGCCGAGATAAGAGCTGAAAAAACCCACAGACGCGCTGGAAAACACCCCGATTCACCTTCCAAGGACTCACTCGCACTCATTCACGATGGCCGACTCCAACCTGCTGTAAGTACGACAGTATCCGCAGTGCTCGGCTTCTTCACTTGGTAGGAAACCAGCATACAACAACGAAAATGTCTTCCAGTGATAAGGAGCTGACAGAGGACGAGAGACTAAAAGGGGGCAAAAAGAAGCAAAAGAAGGAGGATGCTTGGAAACCGGAGGGCCCCCAGGATCCGTTTGCTCTGGTTCGTATCTTCTCAAGTGTGAGTGCATAGTGTGCGCTCATGTACGATGTATGTGTGCTGGTTTCAGTTTGTCACAACGAGAATACCGATAAAATTCGCCTGTGAACTCTGGCTGGTGTTGGTGTTCGCGTCATGGGGGTCAAAACGCCAAACTCCTTGAGGCAGAGGTGGTAGTAATCTGTCCTCGCTGGTCTGGTTCGGCTGCAGCTGAAGAGCCTTCCAGAGACAAAGCAGCAGGAGATCCAGAGGGCCCTCCATCTCTTCTCCGTCGGCCCGAGTCTCCCAAAGACCCTGCAGCAGGCCAGAACACACACTTACCGCTTCTGGGACTCGCAGCCGGTCCCCAAACTGGGTAAGACGTTATTTCTTTTAACAAAACACTCTTTCTACAGGAGATTACCGCTCATGCAATAAATACAGGCCCTGCGTAGCTAGCAGACGGTCAGCATAGCTTAGCATAAAGGCTGGAAACGTGCCAGCTAGCCGGGCTCAGTACAATCCACCAGCACCTCTAAAGCTCATCAGCTGACAGATTAACAAAGTCGAAGGGCATCAGAAACCCAGGGGACCCCTTGAGCGTCTGTCTACGTCGTACCAGACCATCAACGACTGCCACAACCCTCCCGCACACAGGCTGTGGTGTACTGACGTAGAGTAACGCTCCTGAGGGACTGGTATGGGTGGATGGTATGGACGGTGTAAAGGTCAATTTACTGATTTACTTGTGATGGGATATAATTGACGAGATTATTAGATGGCCCTGAGCAGACACTTTCCACACGCTATGATGTATTAGCATGCATATTTACCAAAAGACTGAACCCTTCATTTTAATATCAAAAATATGTGCTTATCACTCCGCAGGAAGTCAAAAGAATCCTGCGTTTCATCGTTTTATTACCGCCATTGTTTACGGAAACACTCAAGCTGCTTCCACCCATTTATTGGCACAACCCTGCGTTTTACAGCACATTAGCACCGAGATCTGTGGGCAGACGTGTGATCTTATTCCCCCTCGGGTTGTGCGTGTCTGCACGGCACCTGAGGGTATAAAGCTGGCAAGAGAACCTGACGTGAAAAATAGATGCTCATCAAAACATTCCTCCGGATACTTTTAACTCCGCCGGTGATTACAGCCTCTCTGCCGCTTCACTAATTTCATGCACTTTAAATAGATACATAGATGCACGCCTAATTTATACTCAGAAATGAAGCTCTGTAATCCTATTTCGTCGTGTGATTGTTACACAGCTTCCATTTAAACGAGCTGCCTCACCGTATTTGCGACACGGCTCGACGTATTGAGCTTCTATTTGTATCCTCAGGTGACAGTTCGGTGACTCACGGGCCAATAGTCGAGGGCGAAGCCGCTGTGCGGAAGGAACCCTACTCTTTACCATCGGGCTTCGTCTGGGACACTCCGGACCTCAGCAGCCCGACTGTGGTGAGTCACTTAACTGTGGGTTAATCTATGGACATTATTAGAAACTCAATTCCCTTTTCAGAGGTGAGGAACGGCGCTTTTATTAGTGTGAATCTCATGGAAACGCTTCCTCGCATCCAGGCGAAAATACCCAGTTTCCGTTTATCGTTGCAGATGAAAGAACTTTGCACTCTGCTCAGCGAGAACTTCGAGGACGAGGACGACAACACCGTCAGGCGCGACTTCTCGCCGGAGTATCTGCAATGGTATAAGCGTCGCACCTGCACATTTAGTCGCTTTTGCTGTTGTTATGTTAATCCCACATCCATTCGAGGCCCCCCGAGCTGCACCGCGGGAATGACAAAATAAGGGACGACAGCGTTTTTCACTTTTCAGCCTGACCCTCCGACAAAACCATTATCAGTTACAAGCCGGGCCGCTCTAATCACTTCCCCCTTTTTGCTGCCTTTTCCCTTTGTGAGGCATAAACGGTCTCCGGTGTGGTTAACTCACTTTGATGTGAATAGTTACCATTCGCATTCAAGGAACTTCCTCGGCCTTGAGGTTAAAGGAAGCTGTGGTATTTCCTCAGCTGAGTCATCTCACGCTCAATTCTTTCATCAAACATTTTCCTCAATCGGGGTTTATTGAACCACCCTGGCATGTCTCTTCACAAAGCCACATTGCAGATCATATCCTTCTCTTCCTCTTAAGGGCTCTGCAGCCACCTAACTGGCTGCCCCAGTGGAACTGTGGCGTGCGAGTGCACAGCAACAACAAGTTGGTCGGCTTCATTGCCGCACTTCCCGCCGATGTCCGCGTGTATGAGACGTGAGTAGCTCATGAGCGTGGATGTGTGTTTGTGTGAAGTCTGATGAGCTGCATTAAACTGTCTTGTGCAATTCTCTCAAAGTAAACCCGCTGCCTTGCAGGCAGAAGCGGATGGCAGCGGTCAAGTTCCTGTGCGTCCATAAGAAGCTCCGCCTCAAGCGGATGACTCCGGTCCTGATCCGAGAGCTCACCAGACGGGTCCACCAGCAGGGCCTCAGCCAGGCGGTCTACTCAGCTGGAATAGTGCTGCCCACACCGATAAGCTCCTGCAGGTAGAAGACGGGGTTGATTCTCATTTGTTTTAAAGGCAAAGAGAGAAGCCACAAGTGCTGCTGTAAAAATGAGGGATGGGTTCTGCCACTTTGGTCATTTTGACAGGAGTTTTGTTTTTGTCTTTGCTTTGTTCACTCGTTGGGAGCAGCAGATTGCATTTGGAGGAAGGTGCCAGACGACAGTTAATCAAACATGATCAAACCACAGAAGCAGATTGGCTTAGTTTTTGAGTGTGAAACCCAAACTTTGACTTGGTATTAGAGGAATATTTAGTCATGAATGTCCCGTTATGGCAAAAATACACTTTCAGGGACAGGGACACCATGAATAGTTTAACGTAGTATTCAACTTTTGGTCCAACTATCGTTTCTCTAATTGGCAAACATGCAGTCTTTGTTTATCGGCACAGTTCGATTGCGATTTCCTCAAAACAAGCGTGTTATAATGGGGAGTCTTATCTTATCGTGGGAATTTCTCTTATTTCCCCCTCCGGTATCCTTACCAAATTCACAATATAAATATTTCAGGTACTGGCATCGCCCTCTGAGTCCCCGAAAGCTGACAGAGGTGAGCTACCCGGGTCTGAGACAGAACATGAACCTGCCGAGAGCTCTCAAATTCTACCGTTTGCCCGAGGTTAGTTTGTGCCGCCACCTTGAGGCTCAAACCCATCAGTGACATTATAATCTGATGTGGCATACCTGACCAAAAGGATGCATCAAAAATGTTTATATGCTCCCTCCTCTCTCTCCCTCTCTCTCCCCCCGACCCAGACCACAAAGACCCCGGGTCTGCGCCCTCTGACTGACGCCGACGTGGTGGGGGTGCACTCGCTCCTGCAGGCAAACCAGCTCAGGTTTCACCTCAGCTCCGCGATGTCTCTGCAGGAAGCAGAGCACTGGCTGTCACCCAGAGAGAATGTGGTCGACACCTACGTGGTAGAGGTGTGGCCCAGCTGATCACTTACCGCAGATGTTTTCATTTCTCTCGACAGAGGAGAGGAAGTGCTCCTCGCCCTTTTACGTTGAGAGTTCACTCCCTTCCTCACACGCAGGGTGAAGCTGGCACCCTGACGGACGTGGTGAGTTTCTACAGCGTCTCCTCCAGCGTGCTGAACCACCCGGTCCACACGGGCCTCAGGGCTGCTCGTCTGCTTTACGCGGCCGGCACTGCCACAGACCCAGCTGACCTCATGGAGGACACACTGGTCCTGGCTAAATCTGTGAGTAAAGAAAACATCGGACGACTTAAGACCTTTCCCTCCTACATGCAGGCAGTTGCATAGTCTACGTACCTGAGTTATATGCATATCTTTTGTTTTAAATGTGCAGTTAGATAATAACACGTATGCTCCCTTTCCGCACTGACAGAAAGGTTTTGACGTCTTCTGTGCCCTCGACGTGATGGATAACAAGAGTTTCTTTGAAAACCTCAAGTTCAACGTCATAGACAAGAGTGTTCGTTATTACCTGTACAACTGGATGTGTCCTGACATGAGCCCGGACAAGGTAAGGAATACTTTAATATCTCCTCCATGCGCTGACATGCACTGCCCAAAGTCACCCACAGCGTTCCTCTGTGCAGAAAAACATCTGAAGTTCATCATATGGTATTTCATAAAAGCAGAATTAAATTCTTGTCTATTAATATTTCTTATACATAAATATGTGTCATTAAGGTATTATTGAGTGCTTATACTATAGATTGGAGAATGGTAATACACACATTGAATCATTTGTCGTTGAAGCAGTTATTTTAATTGCAACAAACTAAAGCATACAGAGAATTACCTTGCAGAAAACACGTTTGATAATAGTTTGAGCCATTATTACTTTATTATTTTCTAGTGGAAATGATTTCATCACAGCAGTGAACCTCACTCTGCCATTAGCAGCAAATTCTGTATTTCAAATCTGTAACGCTTTGGGGGTCAAATGAATATGAATACGAATACGAATATGAATACATAAATATAAAAACAAGCAGATACAGTTCTGCATAATAAGTCCTTGATTCCACACTTGTAGCTTAATATACAGGTGAGGGTTATAGGTAGTACAGGTTTATAAGTAGAGATGATGGATGTGTTGGCTGTGTGTTCTACAGGTGGGCCTGGTGTTCCCCAGCTAACCTAAGAAGTGTCGAGGAGGAAGATGCCATAGTGGTTGGCAGCATCGAACTTCATCAGCACCAGCACACATTAAGATGAAAATACATTAAAAGTGACAACCAGCACACTCACAAACCCATAAAAATTTTTAGACAGTTTCAGCCATCGTCTGGATGTCCTTTCTTTCATTCAGCGTTTCTGTAACAGGAAATTATGGATATGGAGGATGTGTGTGTGTGTGTGTGTGTGTGTGTGTGTATGTGTGCGTGTGTGTGTGCTTGTGTGTGTGACTATGTGAGTTTATGTCTTCTGGTACTTCAACAGGGAGTTTTCCATAATCTCTGGTGACATCAGATGGATTTTCTAGGAACATTGTTTTCAAATGAAAGACAGAAACATGTAAACGTGCCACTTAAAGGCGAATCAATCATACAAATTTAAGTCCACAAACCCCATGAGAAGCTTCTTAAGGGTGTACGGAGACACAGTTTCAATGTTCAGAAAGGGATTATTGATTGGTTAATGGTAACAATATGTGTAGACCATGCAGCATCTTCTGATAAGTAGATTTACAATCGCAAGGTACATGCGATGTCTAAATATGAACAGCAGGGGGCACTGCGACATTAACATTACAGTGAGCCTTCTCTCGTGACCAAACGTTAGGGAGTGCATGTGCAGACATCAACTGCCTTGCATTTAATTGTTAAAATCTCACATAAAACTCAGATGTGTGTTTACGTGGTTTTAGGTGTGATAAGTATCACACCCAAAGATACAGAGAAGCACAGAGGATGTCAACGGAGCTGTGTGATGCATTCATGTGCAGTAAACCAATAATAAGCACAAGGTTAGCGGGATGTTACAATGAGGAAAAATACCCAACCTCAGTGCTAGTAACACAATTATATATAATTGCAAGAACAAAAGAAAATATAAACAATTTCCTGTTTAGTTTTTGGCTACACGCTAACTTCATTACTTCACAAAACTAAAAAAAATAAGTTTCTGGTCCGAGGAGCCCACATTCACCGGAGGTACGTGAAAGCATCACGGCGCTGACTCACCGGCCAATCAGAGTCGATTGAGCATTTTGAGTTTTTAAAGCCAGACCTCCTGACAGCGACCGTCGCCGCCGCCGCCTCTTCTGCACCCTGCTCGGGCATGACAAGAGTCCCCCCCCCGCCCCCCCCTGCTCTCCCCCCGTCAGCTCGCGGTGGAGGACGAGCGCAGGAAGCACAACTTCTTTTTTACTCGTCGGTCGAACGTCGCTGCGGTGACCTGCTTGACGGTTACCGTTAGCATCGTCGGAAACATCTCCACCCCCCAGCCAAAACCCACCCCAGCCAGCGTGCACGCGCAGCGGTGCGGGTCTGGTTTGCACAGCTGCTTCTCGAGAGGTCCCTCTGCCCAACACGTCTCCAGCAGGTAAAGGTAAGGCATGTTGTAGCCGTTGCATTCCACGTCGAGTTACGCAGTTTCATTTGGTCGCACTCAGCGTAGTTTCCTTCCTTTTTTTAAATCCTAAAACTCAGGTTGTCACGGTGACAGAACCCCCCCCCCCCCCCCCCGGCAGGGGAAGTGTGTTTTAACGTCGCACTTTAAAAACCGGCACGTTCAAAAACCACCTGTAAAGAAAACGGAATCAGAAAGCCTGTGTGTCACTTTTTTATTATCCGTTGCAGCCTTCCTGTGGGGTTACCATGGTTACGTCATTGATCACGCACAACGTGGTTTGTAATCAAAGTCATGTTTATCTGTGTCAGGCTGCCATGGCTGTGCAAATACCTGCGAGCTGCCTGCTGCAATGTGTGTGTGTGTGTGTGTGTGTGTGTGTGTGTGTGTGTGTGTGTGTGTGTCATGTGCGTGTGTACTTTGGGATGGATAAGACCTGCCGCTGTTTATTTCAGTGAGCATTACTTGTCACCAGGCAGTGACTCCAGAAGTTTTTGCATGTATCTTAAATACGTCAATATGCAGTTCAATTGTTGAACGTATTCTCCTCTAGTTCCTCCCAGAATTCAACCAAATGGAGGCTCCGTATCCGACGGCGATGGTATTCGAAGCATTCCGGGTTGTACATGTTTCCCCCTGTGCGGCGTCCCGGGGGGGGCTCTGTCCCAACAGGTTCGCCGAGACGTGGCTCAGCCAGCTGGTGTTGAGCAACGCAGAAAGGCAACGGGTGTGTAAGCGGTCCCGCTTCTCGAGGCTGCACATTTGCTCGGGGGTCCTTTTTTGACTAATTAACAACGGCCGCTTCGCATCACTGATGTTCTGTTGAGAAAGCATACTGCAGTGAAAGTTGTCCGGGCGGCGGAGTGGCACCTGAGGGGCCCCGAACAAAGAGACAGATCCTCCATAGTTGTTAAGCAGGTGTGTGTGGTTGTGGTAAGTTTAAACATTCACCTGAAGGCCCCGTGTCGGCCTGTTGGGGACTGTGGCGTTTCTCCTGCGGGGATCTCATTACTCAACAATGGGGCCGAGGGCTTCAGGCTTCCTGCTGCAGAGGCCTGTCTGGTTCTGCGCCGTAACATCAACCTGTGATTCTTTTGCTCTACGGGAGTGAAACTTGTAACTTTCAATTCCTCAATAGCTCACGTTCTCACACACACGCGCACAAAAAAAAGCGTAGTTGATGGTCTCACCGGGCTTTTATTTTGTTAAAATGTTCTGTTTTTGCCCAAGCTTGCCATGAAGGTGTAAGATGGAGTGTGCCTCCCACACACAGCTGCTTGGCCGAGAAGTAATTGAAGGGGTGTAAACAACCCCCCTGTTGAATCAGGATCGTAATTCGGGGGGAAAGACGCACAACGGTTCACTCGTGGGCCCGGATCGCTTCGATATGGACATTTTTTTGTTAACACTGTCAGTAAGTATTTTCAGCCTTAAGCTTCACCTACTTGTGTTACCCAACAGTTAAATATCCCCCCCGCCCCACCCATCTGAAGGGTTTGATGCCGGCTGCACAGCCAAGAACTTCTGCTGTCCAAATATTTACACGAGGCAGAGCGGCTCCGCGACAAAGTGAGCAACAGTAACCGTGGAGGGTTTCCCCCCCCCCCCCCACGCTAATCTCCCCCCGAGACATATTTATAAACGCAGCCAGCAGTTTGGGTGGACGGCGTCCAGCTCCGTCACCGAGACGCTAACTGTGTTTGTCCTGCGGCAGCGCAGCGGAAGGCCCACTTCACCGACCGTCCCCTATTAACCGGCGTGATGTTTGCGCTGCGCACGAAACACATGGTTGTACTTCGGGCTTTCGTTTGGGGTCTGCGCTCCGGTAATAGTTTCCATGTGCGTCGCTTCTCTCCGAGGCTACATCTTTGTTTTAGCTTCGACACCATCGTCAGCTGGGGGGGGGGAGAGAAAAAAAGGGAAAATCCTTGAAGGAAAGTTTTGAGTCTGCGTTCAAAACGAGTGAGTCCACGGGCAGCCTTTCGTGCGCGGGGCCACCGGGGTTTTATTGCCTTTGTGTGGGAGAGCGTGGGCGATAGTCGCCACGTGACGTCCATTAATAAACGGCCACAAGGAAATTAATCTTTCTCAACCATGTGGAGGGGTACAGTCCACGCAAATGCATCTTTTAAAGGACGAGTTTGCAAAGAGTGTTTACATAATACTCCTTTTGTTCAGCTTATTATGCCGGTAAATGGGGTATTTTAGCATGTTTTTAAGCACCGTGGAATGTGATATTTCCATTATGACGACACTAGAAGCCAATGATCCCTCCAACGGCCACCTTTTCACCTGAAAGGGTTTAGCTGGCATTACAAGGTCCATACCAGTACCGCTTAACGCGCCATTTCTCAACCATAGAGGCCCATCCGCCCTGCCCCCTGCAAGGACCCCTTCAACCCCCCCACACCCCTCCCGCTTAGGGGCATTCCAGCTGGCCAGATGGTGTCTGCTCTGCACAGTGGACACCAGAGAGAGAGAGAAACCCCACTGGCAGGATCCACCGGATGAGACGTCCCAACCCGCTTAACGCAAAACTCAAGCCACCGTCACAACAAGCATGGAAACTACATGCATGCATGGAAACTACATGCATGCATGGAAACTACATGCATGCATGGAAACTACATGCATGCATGGAAACTGCATGCACGTTATCATGAGGGGAAATAAACGCTGAACTACACATACGCGTTGAACAGTGCAGCAGCAGCTCTGCTCGAGGTAACCGGCCTCGTTCAAGCTTTTCAAATAGTTGGAATCACCTTTTTTGAGTGAAGGAATTGGCAACTTTAAGGCCCCCGCGGGGCTGCTCGGGTGAGGCAATGCTTTGGGCATGCGAGAGTGCAACAAAGGGTAGCGATCGGTCTGAGGGTGGGGGGGGGCTTTAACTTTAGCTAGTACAGTACATCTGTCCCATTAAAAACCCTGCGTGGGTGTTGGTTTGAGGCCGACTTTAACTCCTGAAAGGGATCCAACGTAGCGGCGTGTGTGCGTGTGTGCGTGTGTGTGTGTGTGTGCGTGTGTGCAGCCATGCATGCGATCCCCAAGGAAGATAAAGCCCCGCCCTTCCCTCTCCAGCTTCCATTATTGCAGCCTCGTTGTCTGCGTGTGTGTGTGTCCGTCGGCCTGTGATTCTCCAGTTGTGTGTGTGTTTCTGTGTGTGCTTGTTTGCCTTCCCGTACGTCACGTTTAATGGCCCCTTTTTGAATGCGGCCGATGGAGCCGGAAGGCTCGGACAAAGAGCTCGCCTTTAGAAGTACAAAGTAAAGGGAGGAAAACGCAGAATGTCCTCCGCGGTAAAGGGCATTGCTTCATGGTGTTTGAAGGACACGTGCTGTCGTTGTCCCCCTTGAGATAATAAAAGGTCTCGGGCAGGGACGGCAGCACGCTGTCTTTGCCAAACAGGGACAATGGCCGCTCCGCCTCAAGCGGGTCAGTACAGTTTGTACAGTGTCAGTTACTCAGGCAAAGCAGAGGGCAGACACGAGTACCCGGGGGGGTGTTATGTCAACTGCCTCTCGGGCGACTGGCTACACTCAGCAGGACTTCTGGTAAAAGGGATTTGAGGGAGTCTGTGTGAGAAAGACGGGGGGGTGGGGAGGGATGGATTAGTCTCCGGCCCAGGCATTTGCCCCATCCTCCTCCTCCCCCTCCACCCCCCTACCACGAGACTAGGGCCCCTCGGCACCCCGGAGACACTTGCCCTACAAAGCGATCACATCCACCCCCACAAAAGCCCGTTCAGCCCCCGAATCCTTTCAATCTTCTCTCCTCTTTTCCCCGTCCGCTGGTCTTTGTCGTATACCCACCTTTCTCTTTCCTTCCTCTGGTCGTCCTCCATCCTTCTCCACGGTGCTCTACGGCAGTGTTTACAAAACCTTTTTTTCTGGGGATCCGGTTTTTAAGAATGACAAACCACCGCGACGCAATTCTCTTTGTATCCGGAGAGTGGCAGATCTGTGTTTGAATAAATGATGATGATCTGGAACCGGTAAACCAGATATTTGCATGTATTGATGAAAACATTTAAACCAAATAAATAAAGGTGTGCCAGCTTTTCATTATGTTTTCAATGTTAGACAAGGGATACAATACAAAACTTGTATGCTCCCCCTTGTGGCTCAAAGTTGTACTGCAAATATAAAGCTTCACAAAAAACAATGGAAGAAAATCTGCCAATCCTGCAACCCAAATGTGGGTCCCGACTCAGCTTACGGGACTGACTGGAACTGGTATTGTTAATTACCCCCCCCCCCCCCCCCTCCGCCTCCCTCCTCTCCCTCCCTCGCAGTTCAAATTCAGGGAGAGTTGAGTCATGTGAATGAGGGGCTTTGGCGGCGTTCGGCAAACACGCCCCTCCTGTCGGAATCATCCTTTTTAAAGCTCTCGGTCAGGCGGGGCGAGGCCCACGTCGAGCGGACGGAAGGCCGCCGCCATTGCAATTAAAACTTCACTCTGCCAGAGTGTTCGGCCAAAGCACTTAAACCATGTGATGAATGATTGCTTTTTAATGCAAAACACTCTGGCCACTCAGTATGTGGTTGATTGCTCTATGATGGTGGCTTAAAGACTGGGTGACACGCCCCGGTGGGCTGCAACAGAAACCGGCCCCTCGGAGGGGGTGGGCGAACCGCTGTCTGGATTGTAACCTTTTCGGATGCACGGATATTCCCCCCGACCAAACCTCAAAGCAAGCGAACAACTCTTTTCTCCGGGCCCTGACCTCGCGGGTGAAACACGTTTTCACTCCGCACCCTCTTCCCTTCCGACTGAATGCGTTCTGTCTTAAACCTCCTCCCCTCTGTTTGCAGAGCGCATGAAGGAAAGCCGATGTTTGCTGGAAGTTAATGTGGATTTTATTTCCATTGAGTTATTCAACACGCAAGCTTTCATGCACATTCCTTTTGGGCCGGGCCAACGAGGTGACCGGGCCGTCGCTTTTTGTCTGTCCAGGCTTCCCCTGAAGAGAAAGCGTTTTCATTCAGTCAAAAGAAAGCCCTCCCCCCCGCTTTCAATGCAACTCCACCGTCGGGTGTTCCTGCCTGCATTCCTGCTCTGTCCTCCTGTGTGGACATGTGAATTCTGAGGACAGGCCTCAGAGGACCTCTGCTCTGTGTGTGACAGGTGCTCCCTTCCCATAATAAGCCTGTCACTGGGTGGATAAGGACATCAGTGGGCTGTGGGTAGATATGGAGGCAACGGACGTTTTGAGCCGACTCACCTTTTTGCAAATGTTCCTATGAATTGAGACACAGAACATGAGGACACCAGAGAGGTGTGAGACGGGAAACCGCAAGGTTCACAACACGTCAACGATCCTCCTCGCGCATTTCAGAATGTCTTCCAACTGCCGGTGGCGAACTTCTGCTTTTGTGGTGCACTGCGTTTGTCAGCAGGCCTGTTATGTAATCCAAAGGAACCGCTTATAATCACTGGAGGTCTTTGCGGAGAAGTAAATATTTAAAAAGGGGGCCCTCATGGAGCGCTTAGGCTTATTAGAGGAAACGAGGACACTAAATCTACTGTTTTGATAGCAAACGGGATGTCTAACGTTTTCTCACTGCCCCCCCAAACATCCCGCCCCTCGAGGGTTCTGGATAATTGCCGGTTTTGCGAGTTACAGAACTGTGGTCAGGAAGTGACACATGTGGCCTCGGTGTTGATTCTTCTTCCTCTCGTCCCGAGGAAGCGACGCCCCGAAGGTCAGAGGGAGCCTTTGTTTACGTGGCCTAGAGGAGCAGAAATCACGATTCAGCAGGAAGGAGCGGCGCAACCGCACGACGAGCCAGACCGGCGCTCGCTCCTCGGAGAAAACCAAAGCATCGCGATGAGTGTTCGTCTTCCTCCTCCTTGTTATTATCGCTGAGGGAATCGATACGAGCACATCAGTGCATCCGCAGCCGCCTCGTTGCGTTTCTGAAACGAATGACCATAAGCAGGTAAAGACCCTAACCCCCCCTCCTAAAACCAGTCCCCCTTGTCAGATAAGGAGTATAATTGTTCTCGTGTGACTAATAACTGTGTTGCTTCAAATAACACGAGCTGCTTCCAAACAAAGCATGCTCCATGTTCTGTGTCTCCACGGAGCAGCTTCAGCGCCGTTTAGAAGCTCCTTTTATAGGTAGTGACCCGGGCAAATTATGCAAGCGTGTGCAGAGCAGCGAAATCAACATCTCTGCTCGGGGGTATTTTTTTTTTTTTTTTTTGCCTTCATAAGGCAATTCATAGAGCGGGACGGGACAGGCGGTATAAAAAAAAAAAAGTCAGGTTAAACATGTCTGCGTTTGCTTGTGATGTTTTGTTTCACGTAACGCACAACCAAAGCAGACCTTGAACGTAATGCAACTTCAATGACATCATCTTCTTGAGGCCGGTTTGTTGCCACCCGTTGATTTTAGCTGCATATTCGATTGGCCATTCGCTTTTTCATGCCGTACGGGGACTTCCTCTCTGGAAGCGTTAACATCTGATCCTGGTTTATTATGTTCTGGCTCAGTTTTATTGGCCATGGATACTTGTGACTGCACTACCTGGGATAGTTTTGTGCTCGGTGCTCTTTTGTTATTTTAACAAACAGATGGAGAATTTATTTCCCACTCTTTCCCCCCGTCTCCGGGCTCAAACCGGGAGAGGACGGCGTGTAATTGTCCTGCAGAGTTCCGTTTTATGGTCAGACTAAATTTAAACCTACACAAGGGAGGCACCGTTTAGCCAAACACTATTATGTTAGGTGGAGGAGGGATGGTGGAGGTCAAGGTGAGGACTGACACACACACACACACACGTTGTTTCCTGGCCGTTAGTTCTATGACCCACCAGGCGGTCGGTTCAGGACTTTTACAGTGGTTCAAATTCATTCCACCTGAATCTCTTTCTATTCCCGCTTTGTCTTCTCCTTCCCTCGTTCTTCCCTCGTCGCTAACGTTGTCTAGACGCTGCACTTTTCATTTATATTCCTCCCCTACTGCTGTTCCCGGCCATAAATGTGAGACATGTGATGTGCTAAAGGCCCCGTCATGTCGAGGGTCTTCTTCAAACCCGCCCCTCGCTAGTGTAAATATGCCTCCTTGTATCATTTCTGACCTTGGACCAAAGCATCAGAGAAATGTACATGGAAAAGCGCCTGCGTTTGGTTCGGTGCAGCCAGACAGGTTGGACGCGTATTTTATTATTGCCGCTGACAGCCGGCCATTCTTTTATGCCTCCGAGCCATATGTGTGGTTTTTCTGCTCTGTGTGAATACTTAATGGAACAAAAATGAGCTCAACTTCCCTGATTTTTTTTAATTTTTTAAATACATTTTTTACCTGCTAAATTGTATTTGAAAAGTTTATTAGTTATATAAAGTTATATTTAAAAGTTCACCTTGTTTTATGGGGCTGGGTATGGACAGGGAAGCAGAAGCTGTCCCAGCATGCATTGGACCCATAAGTCCATCCGTGGGCTAACGCATATCATAACAATCCACAATTTAAAGTTTCTGGTGCTTTTGTTCGTGGTAAAACATCCCACCCTCCTGAGGTGGGATTATGCTGGAGAGGTGATTGGCCGTGGCACTAAGCCTCTAATAAGTCCGGAATCAAATGGGATGAAGATGTTATTTGACCTGCTTTTCACTTCTCCTCCTCCCTCTTTTGCGTCGGGGAAACGGAGCTTATGCGAGAGTCTCGCCGCGGTGGTCGGCTGTCTTTGAGCTGGGCTGACATCATTCTCACAGTGTGTGTGTGTGTTTATGTGGTGGTGGTAGTGGGGGGGGGGGAGAAGGGCTTGGCTTGCGGCTCCACAGCTGAGCCATTTTCCTATGAAAGCTGGAGAAGTGTAAGCATGGCTCTGCACACAGTTTCTCGCCGGTTTCCAGTGCCTGTCATCCGATATTGTCCTCGGAGATCGTGACGCATTAACGATGTCTCTCTCTCTGCCTCTCTGGTTCGCAGCACTGGGATGATTTTAACGGAGTGAGACGCCGCCGTCGAGTGAGATCTGCAAGGACGCCGACCCACATCTCCGGTTCGGGGGGGCGGCTGACGTAGCAACTTGGAAGCCTTTCTCGCCCGCGTTCGAACCCTGAGCCCAATAGAACCTCGAAATGGATGGAATAGGTGCGCTGCAGAGTTCGGCCCCCGAGAACAAGGCCGAGCGGATCGCCAGGTACAAGGCGGAGAGGAGGAGGGAGCTCGCCGAGCGCTACGGCACCACGGACGAGGCCGCCTCCAAGTACGTCCGCAGGGACCGGAAGGTGGGGGACGCGGCGGAAACGCCGTCTTGGGAGAGCAAAGCAAAGGCGAGCCATGCGGATAACGGATCCGAGCAGGCGTACTCCAGGAGGGGCTGCAGGAACAGAGAGCCGGAATCCGTGGAGGAGCAGCCTACCCGCGAGCCCGCCCGCTCCCAAGCGGACGCAATTCTCTCCGGCAAAACGGCAGCGAGGGAGTCCACTCCTCTGAGGTGAGTTCATCAAAGACGCGGTGCACTTGTGAGTCCTCAATGGGACTGGAACACAAAGCTGCCCGGGCAGAGAGACTCCCAAGGCCGGTAGAAGTAGATCCGGGGCTTAAATGGCAATAAATGTAATTATTCTCATACTCTCAGTCTGGATTGCAGCATTCGTACAGGACTGATTTCAGTAAGCCAGTTTAAACTGGGCCCACCATGTTTCCATCCCAACAACTGTGTTTAGAGTGCATGTCCAGTCTAGCTGCTAGGCTCCTAATGGGAGAAGAGGAGGCAACAAGCCTGCTCCTTCGGAGAACACTTTCTGTCCTCCGTTTGAAGTAAACACAGCCGTTAGCATTTCCAAAATTGGCCATGTGTGCTCAGCAGGGGACGGCCTCGCTTATTTTGTTTTGCTGGGATGACATCCTGCTTTTGGTTCACCTAAAACCTGACGCCCGGGAGCCCCTCGGTGTCCTCTCTCAGCGGTTGTCCAGGAATGTTCATCTGAGATCTTTGTGCATAAAAAAAATCAGCAAAAGAAACTTGTTTGAGCTGTAACCCAGCCGGGGATCTTGCCGCAAACAGCCAGACGTGTTCGCTCTCGGAAAAACACCTTCAGGGCATTGGCGACGGAGAGGGGAAGAACTCTGAGATGGACGGAGTGCCGGGAGGTGGAGACAGCTGTGAGTGAAGGCTGGTTGGGTGTTCTGGACCAATCGTTTCCTAAGCTGGGGGGGGGGGGTGAAAGCATGTGTTGCAACAGACTTTGCAAAAGAAATGCGGCGGCGTGTTTCAGCAAATCTCACACATGTAGTGTTTGACTCGATCGTCTCCTGATGGCGACGCTCTTTACATGCATGTGTTTTTGTTTTAATGTCAAACACGTGGTTAAGTGCAAAAATGTAGTACCGAAATTGTCTCATTAGAGAATATGTCAAAGCTTTGTCTGTTTTTTGTTTAATGTTGTGCACAAAACTGCCTTGGCAAAATGCAGTCACGCACAAAGTTCTGCAGAGTATTTGTAATCACGGAGAAGGCGGGGGGGAGACAGGTCGGCATGTGGGCGTCGCGCTCGCTCCTAATCTCCCTGCGTGTCAGCGTCCAGCTGTGAGCTCATCATATTAAATTATGTTTGTTTTTTTTGTCTTATGTTTCACCTTCAATTCTAGAAGGAAGTTTGAGTTGTCTTTACAGATAGTCGTGGAGCGCTTTACGACCAAACCGCTTCCCGCATGTTCACCGGCCTCGTAGGCGCGTCTCTGTTACAGGGTTGCGAAATAGGAAACTGGAGCTCAGCGGCTGCATCGGTAATGAAAACAGTCACAGGTGAAGGGGGGACGTTCCAAAACCAACACTTCCAAATAATCACACTTAAAAGTGCAGGTTTGTTTTACTATGCAATGTTACATAACTTGTTACCCGTGGAGGAAAGTCTGTGGGGGGAACTTTTTAGGAAACAATCCTTAAATAAGTAATGTTTGTATTTCATTACTTTAATTACTCGCCACATGCAAATACAATAAATACCGCGTCGTGTCATTTCTTTTAGGATCATCTCTATTTCACAAAGCTGTTGACCAAGTGACCAAGACCAAAATGTATTTATAGTAAAATACTGATTTTGTAGAAATTACTTTTCAACATTGGTTTTGAGACTCAAACGTTAAAAAAAGCCCAAACCACTGCGTCCGATCCAATTAATTCTAGTAGGTTTTCCAATACAATGCAGCCTGCACAGTCCAGTCTAAAGGGTCCAGGTTTCTCCATTGAATAGCTTCATTCCAGTGCAATGAAGCTATTAAAACATCTGCTTAATATGTTTCTCAGCTGAATAACTTGATGCATTGCAGCTTCAATTCATGTTTGCTGTAAGATTTGATGCCCTGCTGTCTTCATAAATATGCTCATTCATCCTCCATAATCCATAAATCACTGACTCACACCGCTGCGTGATTGCTTTTGATAGATGACAGTAAAGGATTGGTCGATCTGACTGTCCAGCCAATACAGAGCCTTGAAAAAAAAGACTTCCAGGAACCATTCAGTGATCATTTAAGCGGGTCTAATTTTCCCAATTAGTCATTTTCAAACCGGCTCGATGTCAATCTGCTCCTGAGTGGAACATAACGAAAATTGGTTTTAGGGTTTTAAGGTGAAATCTGACATTGGCTAACCTCTAGCCCAGACGCCCCAAACAGCTTGGGGTCAGCTCCCCCTGCTTCAGTGACCTCTGACCCCCCACCCCCCCAGATGTCCACCCGGAGTCTCCATTGTGTTTAAAAGCCGGTCTGTTACATCATCGCTTCGACCCCACAGGCAGCTGCTGTCCCCAGCCTCACTTAACACCCATTACTCAGTGGCGAGGGGCCGCTGTTATATATCGTTGGCGACGTAGGACTGATTGTTGGAAGACGCAGGACACGCGCGGCGCAGCGAGGGTCCGTCTGCAGCTCTGCTGCTAGTTTTATTTCAGCGTTTAACATCTGGGGATTTTGGGATCGTAGTCGTGTAGGTGAGACATAATACTCTAATTTTTCTGTCATCACCTCACCGTGTTAGAGAGTGACCTCATTTGTCTCTCTCTCTCTCCCTCCCCCCTCTCTCCCCTAGTCTGCTGGAAACCGATGACCCGGAGGAACCAAAGGGTAAGACGACCTCTCCACTTTCACTCACTCAAGCTCTCTGTGTTACTTCGCGTTGGATGCTCAATACGCCGCCACTGAGGGGGAGGCAAAGGGATCCTGAAGGGGACGAAATGTTGGATCGCATGCCAAATGCACTGGAAGCTTGTGTCAGCCGGCTAGCGCCGCGCGCTCACTCTGGGATTCCGTGGTTACGTTTCACTCTCATTCTCTCATTCTCACTCTCGTGGTTACGGTCACTCTCGTTCAGCCACCTGAGCCCACATCCGGAGTCTGCCAGTCTTCCCGTCGCCAGTCTTTCTGTTCCGCGGCCTCGTGCAGTCACGCCCGTTTGGTTTGCCTGCTCTGCTGAGTCTGTCTCCCTTCTTACGTCTGCGCGTGTGAACCCTCGACTACAATAGAAACCGAAAGAGCGAGGTCACAGGAAGGTCGGGGGTTTCGGAAACTCTGGACGTGTGTGTGTGTGTGTGTGTGTGTGTGTGTAAACAATGTAAACGTGACCTACTCAGTAGATCAGGAAGTGTGTTGGATCACGTCTAAGTGATTCTCACATTTAAGCAAAACCCGTGTGTGTGTGTATTCATGCAGAGGGACGGTGAAGCGGATCTGCTGTCCCGCTAGTTAATATTAAAATGTTGCCTTTTGAACAGAGACTTTCTCCATGTTCGATACGTGTGCACAGTAAGTATCAGTAGAATAGCAGAGCCAAATCATGATTATTTCATTTGAGTGCTTACTCTTACTACTGTCTTATGGGAAGCGGCATCGGTTTTACCCTCTTCTCTGTAAACTGGGTCCGATCTATAATAAGGGAATATGAAATATGAAACACAAACATACAGGACAGAAATGAAGTGAAGTAGAAGCCACGTGATGACTCGACTTATTTGTACAAAGAACATCAAACAAAACCGTCCCGATTAGTTGTGCTTTGAATGATTGGATACCCTCTCGTCATGGCCGGCGTGTTTCTCCGATCGGAAGAAGAGATTAAAACATTGTACTAGAAAAGAGGAACAAAGAGCCGTCAGTGTTCATCTGTAATTGAGGTGTGTGTGTGTGTGTGTGTGTGTGCGTGTGCGCACATTCACACGGCTGGTGAGCTTCCGCCGTCAGACGATCCAGTGCTGTCAGCCAGAACGCCTCTCGTGGCGACAGCGAGGGTTTCCCCCGACGACTCGGCTCTCCCCGACCCGCGATACAAACACTCAATTGGTTAGACGAGAACATTCTGTAACTCGCGTCAGCTGTGAAGTACACACAGAATGACTTCACTTCAATCCCCTCCGTCTACTTTGAAACATCGTGCTCAAAGGCTGCTGGCTAATATTCCCAAGGGCCATTTGGGTCAAACACTTAAGCAAAGTCATTGAACATAAGTGTCTCTTTTTTTTTCTTTTTTTTTTTTCTTTCTTTCTATCGGACATTTGGATGGATGCTGATGTGAAAAAGTTTGGAGTCGAGTCAAACGTAAAGCGAGTGCAGTCTGCGGGGAATCCGCGTCTGCAATGTGTCACCATCTGAACTAAATCGCGTTGAACAGTGAGAGCAGAAGGAGCTCAGCTCTTTTTCTATTGGAAACTGGAAGACTTTCTAGATTCCTTTGCTAGTTTTCTTTAGAGGTGGAACGATGTTTGCAAGTAATGTCTCATTGTCCAAGCAGTAAAAGCCGGGTTAGTGGGGATTTCAGTGTGCTGACTTAAGAAATTTGTGTTGTTTTGGAAAATCATTCGATTTAATTGTGTCATTTTGTGCGGGTTGGATTATATTCGCTGGGCTGTTCTTGATCAGACAACTCGTCATAAAAGTTTTTCGGATTTCTTCATCTCAAAACTTTTAACTCTTGACTCACTGATGATTGAACTTTACCTTCATGTTGGAATGCACCCCCGGGGAGCCGAGGGAAACGTCATTTCTACATTCCTTTTTTATTTTTCTGATCCAGAGGAAGCCGCACCGTTGAAGCCAAAACTAAACCCTCTCAGTTTTTCCCCCTCTAACACGTCTTCTGTGTGTAACACTATCCTGTATTTAGAGAAAGCGAGCGTATTGTTTGTCTGAGCTCACCGAACGCAGACGGTCAGCCTTGAAATGCTCCTTCTAAGGCGACGCGGCGACTGGTCTTACGATGCTAAAATTCAAAAACGTCCTCTCACCGCCGGGTCCTTTGTCAACCATTCATGTGTCTCTCCTTTGCAGCTGACGAGAAGCCCGTGGACTCCGTCACGAGGACTCCCAAGATGTCTCTTTACAAGGTACGGTATTTTAGGTTCGTCCTCTAATTGCCTTCACCCGAGTGTTTCGTATAGTAGATCGTGTGTGTGCAACTCATGAGGGATAATTTTCTTCAGTTTCCCGTTAAGTCTTTCCAGATGATTTATTCCCAGCAGCTGGTGTTTGCTTCACACACTGGATCTTTGCTCCATTAATAACAAATCGATGTGTTCCACGCAGCACCGAGCTCCACCGGTGTGGAGGCCACACTAGGCCAAAGTCAAGACTTCACACACGTAGCTTGCGGAGGTCTCAAGGCGACTGTGTGGAAGCGGCGGTCAGCTGGAGCTCGACCCTGGTGGGAGATGCACACGTTTGCTCAGAAAATGAATCGGCCTTTCCCAGGCCGCTGAAGTTCCAGAGGCGGTTAGGGTTCGTGACATCTGATGCGAATAGCTGATCTAACTTGGCCTCCTCAGGACAGCAGCACTGCCGAGGTTGGCCAAGTGAACCCAGATGGCAGCAAAACCTGCTGGGAAAACAAGTTCCCACATTTGCACCACTTTTACTGATTCATGAGTCCTTTTTTTGTTTAGCAAAGAGCTTTTTTTCACTCTGGTTCACCTGATAGTCATCGGCGGTGACAGATGGCCCTTCGCTGTCTTCCCTTATCACTCATTTCTCCCCCTCCGATCCCTGTCGACAGCCGGTGAGTCAGAGTCTCTGGCACCAAGGGGAGGGGGGGGGGTGGCCGGTTGCACAATGTCTGCTCTCCAGCAGAGATTAACGGCAATAAAACGCGTACATGTCGACTTCTGGAGAAAGACGAAGCCCAGGTGTGTCCTAAATGTCCCGGGTACATAAAACCATGGGGTTTTCCTCTTTCCAGAAGCCGATGCCTTTCTGCCGGGGTGGACAACAAAGTCCCTCCTCGATAATCTGAGAGCGTGAGTGCGTTTTTGAAAGAGGCCCCTAATAGTTCTGAGCTTTGCTGTGTCACTTTGTGAGAGGCGAGCAGCTGGATCCCGGGTCCTCTTATCTTCAGGTCGCACCGGGTTCCTCGGTTAAGTCTTCGCTGACACGCGTCTCACACAGCTGGACGGTTTGCAGACTACATGTTTGAAAAAGTGCGACGTTGAAAGCCTCCAGCGCGCCGGCGCTGAGGGTGGACAAACTACGGCGTTGGCAGGAACTCAGCCGAGCATTTCAGGGGTTAAGTGCTCTGCTTAAGTGTGTGTGGGCGGAGCCCCATTCTTTCATCCACTCCCCCTTATCAAGGTTTGTCTTTTCACAGCGAGTGTAGGGAGTTTCTTGCAAACACAATCCCAACCTTTTAGGCCACGGCTGCCCTTCTCTCTGCCCGTAGGAGCGGGAGGCGTCGGAGGATGGAAGCGACGGGCGACGCGCCACCGTCAAGATGAAGTGTCAGCCGACGAGCAGCGACGAAGACGACTCCTCCGCCAGGTGAGCTTTCAGCTGGGAACGGGCTCCTTTCTGTTCACACATTGGTCTGCGGTACAATACGTATGTTACAACGCGAGCAGATGGAACAAACCAATTAAAATCCACAGACAAACACAGAGAGCGTGCAGCCCACAGGTTGCTACACACCAATTGTCAAATGTGAACAGCTGCAGAGATAAACCAGACAAACCTGCAGAGCTTTCCCTTTAATAGCACACAATCTCTTTCGCTCACACCTATATATGCACACACCCACACACACACACACAAGTAGGGCTACACAGGTAGCCATGGTGATGCAAACCAAACCAGGCTGAAGTTAAGTGCTGCAGCAGTGAGAGAGCGAGCCTTCACGTTGCACCCAAACCACTGGAGAGAGTCATATGTTTGATCATCTATTGAAAATGCCCCCATAGCATGAGTTCATTGGGATCTTGTTTGGACTTTTGACCTGACCGATAAACTGCTTTCAGTTTAGAGCTCTGAGTCAACAGTGAGGTCAGTGCATTTGACTATTTGCAAAAGGGCTTCGCCTTCTACAAAAGGAGGATGATGGCATAATGAAAAACAAGATTGCTCTGAGAAATGAGGCGCAGGCTCGGCAGAGGCGGTCGTGTCCAAGCGCCGCTGCCTTTCAAAGGTCAAATGCACCGAGATGATTGTGGTTACTTGGCAGGTTCAGTGTCTTTACCGTTCTGCTGGATTAGTCCATAAAGGTGACGAGTCGGCGACGCTTCTTTACTTTGGCAGCATCCTTTGTGTTTGTGATGATCAAGGAAAACACATTTTCTGCAGTTGTGTGGATGTGTACTTTGGCAGGAGCGTTCCTCAAATACCCTCATGAAGACAAATGGTGCTGTTGTGCGCCTGATTACTAGTGATATATTAATAATAGACGACGTGGTGGTGAAACAGAGTAATGAGTGTTACATGTGTTTGTGGTTTGCGTTCACCTTGCAGCCAGCTCTTTGCTGAAATCCCATTATGTTCTTACTGAATCGTGTTTACATCAAATATGCGAGAGAAATATATATTTTTTTCCCCTCGTTCTCTGTTTCATCTTCTTGTCGCTCATATTTCAGCCTTCTCAAAAGTGAAAGCAAGTTGATGGATGGGAAAGAAGCCCCAGATGAAGCTCCGTGCAGCGAGCCGCATGAAAACGCTTCCACCGTCGAAGAAAAGGTCTGTATTTTTGTTTCCATTGGATGCATTACGTTTTCTGTTTTCTTTTTAATGGCCCATAAGTTATGGTTTCCATAACTCAATAGGCTGAAATATAAAAGTCATCTCTCCTGGATCGTATCCAGGAAAGATTATAATTTTGAACCGCGTGCGAGCCGATTCCAAAACGCTTGCCCACCTTAACGTTGGCTCTCTTACCTCTGCGTCTGGTTTACATTAGATTAATATATATTTCTTTTTAAGTACAGTACAAGTTGACTTTCAGAATGTATTTCATGTCCCTGATGTACAGTTGCGATGCACACGCACACGCACACCATTTTTACTTATCTGGATGAAATGTGATTTTGTCACTTAGATCTTCACAAGGCATTAAAATGTGTTCACTTATTTCATACCGAACACCGTTGCCTGTGTGCTCTTGTACCTTCCGCGGTCTTTTAGTTTATGAGGACCACCTCGTTGCGTCACCCTCACAAACCCAGCTGGCCGACGAACCGCTTCTTCCTTCATCTCCCCCTAAATCAGCACTCCCGTGTGACCTTTGACCCGTTGTCAGTAGGACGTCTGCCGTTGCTCCAGCTGCTGCCGCATCTTCTTAGCAGCATTTTGCACACAACAAAGGGTGTGTTTAGATGTGCCTTTAGGGTGCGTGATGCTTTTTAAATGCGTTGTGACAGCCTTAAAACCGGCAGCTCAGGCTATTAGAAGCTTGTGTCTCAACATTACAGCACCGCTTGTTTCTTAGAAAAAACCCAAACATGAGATTTATTGGCAAATTCTTCGCTTTTTTTTCCATTTAGTTCTACTTCCAGTCCATGAGTGTGTGTCTGTGTGTGACATGTTTTTCTCTGTTTTGTGTGGAAACTTTAAAGCCGCTGACGTTGGTCTGGTCAGAGAGCATCAGACGCCATAATCGAGGGCTATTGAATACGCTGACCGTGTCCCTGACACTTTAATCCGCTTTCACCGCTCTTATGAATTTTACGGCCGATGGTTAAGAAGGAAAAAAAAAAATAAAATTTCTCTCTCCCTCCCACATCAGCCGCCCGGTCTGCTCGCCGACGGAGCTCTCCCCCACAGCGAGACCAGAGACGCCTCTCCGCCTCCCTCTCCTCCCTGCCAGCTCGCCTCGCTGCAGCGCCAGGACTCTCGGGGCATCAGGGGAATCCTAAAGAAAAGCCGCTCCACCAGCATGGAGTCGGACCACAGCGAGGGCTCGGCGCCGGATTGCGCGCCAGCCCGACTAACCGGAGTCACCCTCAGCCACCCAGAGAGTGAGGAGGAGGAGGAGGATGAAGAGATTGAGGAGGAGGAGGAGGAGGAAAATGAGGAGGTCAATGGGGAAAATGACGGAGAGGATGAGTCCTTAACAGACGGAGGGTGCTTCAGCATCGGCCGACGACAGGAAGAGGAAAGCGGCGGCGGCGGCAGCAGCAGCAGCAGCGGGAGCTTCGAGGCGATGCGGAGTCCATCGCCCGACGAGAGCCTCGGGAAGACGTCCTCGGTGTCCGAGGACGTGGAGGAACTGGAGAGCAGTCTGGATGGAAGCCAGGGCTCCTCGCTCAAACAGAGGTCATTGAATGTACACAAACACATTTTGATGCGTTATAAGCAGCAATATTTGTTTCCAAACAAATAGAATTTACCAAAACTATTGAATGTGTATGCAAAACAAGAAGCCCACTTTAAGTCTGTGTGACGTCCGGACTCAAAGCTCCACTTGTGTGTCTGAAATGCACGGCAAAAGTAGGTGTGACAGTTTGTCTCCGGGGGGAAAGAACTAACGTGTCTCTTGCCTTCTTCAGACTGGCAGAATTCTCTGGTGAAGGTGAGAAGAAGGACGGACCGAAGACGGCCAAGACATCCGACTTGGTCCACACTCCACTGGCCGATCGCTTCGACAAGCTGCAGCACGCTGAAAACGCCTGGATGAAAAAGGTATAGGCCTCCGCTTATCAAGCAGGCTCTTTGCTTTTGTTGTGGCGTTGAGTGTTTTGTTTCGAGAGTTGTTTCGTTAGTACGAATAGCAGCTTTACGATAGCAGACAACGATTTGGCTGCAGACGCATTTCTCCCCCTGCTGAATCAGCTTATTTCCTCGGACTTGTTGCCATTAGGATGTGAGGTTAGGAGGGCTTGTGGGGGGGAGGGGGGGCAGCAGATTTGGGAGCGGTGACGGCTGAGCCCAGAGATCCAGGGCTTAGCCGGCCTCCCAAAGACAAAGCGACACGCCTTTTTACCCCAGTGAAAATAAAACCCTACACCGTGACCAAACACCTGCAAACCTTCCGCGCTAATGCCTGCTTTCCTTTTGGTTTGTTTCTGCCCGCTCTCCTCTCCCCCTCCGTCCGCAGAGTACGAACAATAAGCAATTGTTCCTTTATAGACTTGCACAGACTCGTATAAACACCCAGGGGTCAACATGCAGGGGGTTTAATGTTTAACACTAAGATAACCGATGCGTTTTGAAGTGGTGAGAGAAGCGCATGCCGGCTTCTTCATGCTGTTCAAACAACTCTGGCTGAGTCTTTTTGGCTGGAAAAACAGCATAATAACCAATGAGTGTCACATGGATCTCCCCAAAGCCGTCAATACTGCGCCCACAGTTTGACGGCATGTCATGTTTATTTATGTGCTGGTTTTGATGTCAGTCCAGATCGATGATCCTCTCGGGGGATTTCTGGTTTTGGGGCTCATCCTTCGGCCAAGGATGAGCTAACCTCCCAATAAATCCACTCTTAGTTTAAATGTCTTTTTCCAGACTAAGTACAGACAAGACAGCAATTTGAAAAAAATCCCCACTCAATTAAATACCGAGACCGGACGTCCTTTCCGTTTGAGTGCGTTCTTCGCTAAAGTCACCCGGAGTCCAAACTGGGGCCTAATCGCTCGCAGGCAGGAAAGACGCCGAGCCTGTGTCCAAAACGTCTGCGGACTTCTTCTAGAACCTCAGAGCTGTCGATAATTCAGAGAGCTTTTTCTTTCTTCCATGCGTCTATTCTCGTCACGTCTCTCGAGGGAAAAAGGCCCGGTCGGTTTGGCATTTGATCTCGTACTCGGCCAATCCGCAGCAGATGTTGTTGCCGCTTGGTTGATACGTGGGAGACCAGGGAATGTAACGTGCACGGTGCACACACCACACCAATCAACCCGCTCCAGATGTTTCCTGTTGGGCCCGCTTAGCTGTTCTCTGCATCACAGCTGCGTTGTAAAGCGAGACCTCGTTGTGCATTAAATTTGAAGAGGGTCGGTTTTGTTTTTAAATGATTATTGTTCATTGTAATGATCATCAATCAAATCACAGAAAACTGCTGCTTTGTTCGTTTTAAACTGAGATAATTAAACACTTGGGAGTGACTGATGTCTTGTGTGTAACTTTCATTATGAGAAATCAAGCTTTTTGTTTTTGTAAAATCCACCAACAGAGGTAGAAATGTTCTATTCTTACTAAACCATGAGGCGAGTTTCATACTGTGATGCGTTTAATATTTGCTGTTTTCCTTTTCCTTCTTCCTGTCTCTCCCATCCTCCCAAACTTGGTGCCAGGCTTTAAATGACCCGTCTCATCATTAGTCTTCCAGCTGTTCCTACTACTCCCCCCCCTCCTCCTTTTAAACCCTCCTTTCCAGTCTTCCTCTGTCCTCCCCTGCGGACTATACCCCTTTCTTTGACTTTGCCACCCGCTTGTCGGCCTTTCCCAGCCCCTTCAGGTGAGTGACTGAGTGTGTCTGTGTGTGTGTGTGCGCATTTGTTCATTCTGTGCCTCATTGCACGGCCTTCACTGCTCCGCCTGAGCTCTGGACAACTTCTCACACACTCTGGCAATTCCCACTGATGAACCCGAGCTGTCAACGGCCTCTGCCGTTGGTACGTGAATGTGGTTCGCCGGCCCCCAGCTGGTCGATATCCGTGTCAGAGGTTTGGCTGAAGCGCTGAAATGGTTTCCTGTGAGGCTCCTCGCTCTCCTCCCCCCCTTCCCCTCTGATCGACTCCAGAGATGAGCTGCTAGCTAAAGGGGCCGAGTCGCCCCGTCAGCGGGCGAGAATGCTTTTTGACCGCTTGGGATGACGGATGTTTGCGTTTGAGAATTCATAGTTTAAAGCACTAAAAAGAGGCTCTGCATGTCGGATAACGTTTCATTCTCGTATGTTGTGAAGTCTGCTGGTGCTCGGTCCGCTGTTCCGACCCAGTGAGCCGTCTCTGCGTGGACGCCAGTGGGATTAAATGCATTTCTTTGAACTTTTGTCTCGTGCCAGGCTGATGTTTGACCCCCGTCTGTGCGACGTGTTTCACATTAAAGTACAAAGTAAACTAACTGCGAGTGCAGAGAGTGTTCTATGCCACTGCATGGGTTAACAACTTAAAGCCCCCCTACACCTCCTCTTCAGGTAAACGAGAAAGAAACGTGACGCTAATGTAGACGGCCAATACAGGCCTGAAGGCTCGTGTGGAATGTTTTGTACAATAACTTCTCTTCATGCTGAACAGATAACATTATCTGCTCTGCGGGGGAGTCCTACAGTCTGCCTGTGCGAGACACTCCTGTGTGCATATCGTGGCGCGTTACACTCGGTGAATTGCTCATTACCAGTGAAGGGATAAGGGGTGGCAGCCAGCAAAAGCTCTGCCAGGGCTGTAAAACGCTTAAAATATTTATTAGTGGAATATCATTAGTTGCTTTAAAACCTCCCGGGGTCCAGTGGGGCGGGGCGGGGGGACTGTAAAGCTCTGCTAATTTATTTTTAATGGTGGAGTTCAGGTGCAAAAATGGCCACAGGAGTAAATCACGTAAGGAAAGTTCTAGTGAATCGCTGTTGATCGATGGCTTCAGCACACTTTTCTCTTTTTATTGTCAGTAAGTCCACATTCTTTGTGTTTTTTTTGGAACGAGGAACCTTCTTGGAGCGTGTTCTTTTTGGGAGAAGCCACGCTCTTCTAGAAATAATAAGAAACCAATTATACATTTCAAAACCTCCTCAAATGAATTTCTCGTTCCTTTACCGTCTGCCTTCAGCATCACTCAGTCTCTGCAACCATTTTGTCCTCACGATCACTTCACTGTGTCCTCGTAGCTGTTACACATCAGGAATCCGGAACATTTATGGCCGAAATATGTTCAACATACGAGGAATTTGACGTGGCGGCTGGTGCATAACGTCAGGCAGTGAGAAGTGCATAGGCCGTAGTGTGCTTCCTTTTTTAAAATAAAATGTCCCAACAGAAATCCAGCGTGGAGGTGGGGGCCAAGACGTCCCTGGCAGACCGCATGAAGGTCCTCAAGGACAAGGAGGAGCAGTGGAAGAGCAAAGGCAAAGGAGCCGCCAACGACTCTGTCCAGTTCACTGTGGCTGGACGCATGGCCAGGAAAGGTGTGTCCACTCTGTGCCAACTGACGACGTTTTCACATTTAGAGTGCATTTCTCGTAATGCACAACCATCCTGAATGATAATGAAGGTGATTGTGAGTTACAGCCCTAATTGGTCCTCCTGTCTTCCTGCAGGTCTCGTTACAGAAACCGGAAAGGAAGAGTCGACTCTTATCCCCCTCAAGAAGTGTAATGCGACGCCCGTGAAGCCGCTGGAAGGTAGAAGTTGTTCAATCAGTGTGCGAATCATTCAGTTAATTAGTTACAAAGTCCAGATGACTGATTTAAATCTTTCTGCTAACTTTAAAGGAATTGTATACCCTGTTTTTTAATCACGTTTTGGAATGTATCCTCCCTTTGTCACCGCTGGATAGAAATCTCCAGTAGAAACGATGTCAAGGTGGAAGGAGATAAAAGGCTCGACAAGCTGGAGTCTTTCCTCGACAAGCTACACAATAAAGGTACTATACCCCCGTTTGTTGCTGCACACAAGACAATATTTGGATAAATATTACACTATTGAAGAGGATCTGTTACACTCGTCTGTATAACAACTTGTTAAATTTCACTATTTTGCTGACTCATAGACATAGTGGATACTTGACAGTACAGATGAGCATTTAGTAGATGAGCTCACAGGATATCCTAAAACATTTTACACATGTTTGAGTCACCTCTTCACCTTCCTGCCGCGGCGTTCAGGCGTGAGCAAAAGCAAGACTTCCACCGTGGAGGTGACGGCCGAGACGGAGAAAGAGGTGATGACCCTGGACGACGAGGAGACCTTCGGTAACTTCTACAAATCCATGTCCCCGGCGACGCTGCAGGACTCCGGTGTGGTTTTGACGGAAGAGGACCTCAGCCAGATTTCTGCCGACTCACCAAAGTTGGTTCACATAAGTGAATGCACAACGAATGCTTAAATCTCTTAGGTTGCTTTTAATTAAAAAAAAAAAAAAAAAAAAAACGTCCACTGTGTTGTGCGTCTCTAGACTCACCTCATCGGTAGCGGAACACAAGCGAGCGGTACGACCAAACCGAAGGAACCAGGGCTCCAGGAACCCTCTGCGTGCTCTGGCCGCCCGCAACGACCTGCGGCAGGTCTACACTGAGCAGAGGCTCAACGTGGCCTCGCTGGAGACCAAGAGGATCCAAGTGGAGAGGAGTAAGACGGCTCACACTGACTCTGGTTGAAGTTGAATCCAGATAATCCAAATAACAGCATGTATGAGATTGCCGTGGTGACATAATGGCTTAGTCTGCTACTAAATCTGAGCTGGCCGATTACATCAACAAATCGGAATGATCGATGTGTCGATTCAACTGTGTTCCTATATTAATGTCCCCGGTCCTCTCCGTTTTCTCTCCCTCAAAGTGGCAAAACATTCCAAAACCAACCTGGCTGACGTGGCCTTGGCGGGCCTCGCGAGCAAGGAGAACTTCCGCAAGATCAACCTGCGCGACGTGAAATCCACCGATGTTGTGACCAACAACAGCACGCTGCCTTTCAACAAGCTCATGCTCATTCGCGTCAAAGGTCAGCCGCACGTGCGAGTTGGTGTTTGTTTTCTGTAAATATTTGCGCAATGGGGGGGTTTGGTGTGCGGGCGCTCTCGAAAAAAACGTCAAGTGACATGATGTGTGCGCTGCTTTGTCCCCGTCTCCAGGTCGCCGGCACATCCAGGTGCGCCTGGTGGAGCCGACGGCGCGCTCCTTAAACAGCGGCGACTGCTTCCTGCTCATAACGCCGAAGCACTGCTACATGTGGAGCGGCGAGTTCGCCAACGTGATCGAGAAAGCCAAGGTGAAGAAGCCCTCGCGCACAGAACCACCGGGAGCAGCTGTTGGATTTTTGTGCAACGTGGTGTTAACGTTCGTGTGTATCCAGGCGTCGGAGATGGCGGCGTTTGTCCAGGCCAAGAGGGACCTCGGCTGCAAGGCCTCCCAGGTGACTGTGCTGGAGGAGGGCATCAACACCGACAGCAGATGGGCCAAAGAGTTCTGGAGCCTGCTGGGCGGACAAACCCAATACAGAGGTTCGCGCTCGTGAATCGTTTCCCGTCTCTCCGGCGTTGTGACGTGCGGTTTTTTCGACGCCGCGGACATATGCTCAGTCTGCTTTTTGTGTCGTGCTGTGTGCGCGTGTCACAGGTGCAGGGGAGCCAGAGGAGGACGAGCTGTATGAGAGTGGAGTTCTGGACTCTAACGGGGTGTACAGACTCCACGGGGAGAAGCTGGTGCCTCATGAAGACGCCTGGGCCTCCATGCCAAGTGTCACCTTGCTGGATTCTAAAGAGGTGACGCCCTCTGCTCTAAATTCTGGGACCTGCCTAGAAAGAGATGAATGAAATATGCAAAAAGCACCCGTGATAGTCCAAACTGACATTTGCATGCACATCATATTTGTTTTTTTTGCATGTAGTACTTACTACTTTCCATTTCCTCTTCCTGCCACCACCAGGTCCTAGTGTTTGATTTCGGCGGCGAAGTGTACGTTTGGCACGGGAAGGACGTGCCTTTGGGTGACCGGAAGGTTGCCGTGAAACTGGGCAAGCAGCTTTACGGCGGCAGCTACGACTACAGCAACTGCAGGGTGAACCCTTTAGACGCCTCCTTCACCACTTCGGATGTGCCTCAGTGAGTATTGGAGATTAGTGGTTGCGTTGTCGTAGCCCCTAGTGGTTGTTTCTCGCCGGTACAGCTTCATGGAGGAGACGTTTTTGTGTGATTTCCAGGCAAGGGGAGGGTCGTCCGAGCTGGACTCTGTTTGGCCGGCTGTCGGAGCACAACGAGACGTCCCTGTTCAGAGAGAAGTTCCTGGACTGGGCCGACAGGAAGAAGGAGGAAGCGGCTCAAGCGGATGAAGTCAAGGTAGAAGAGATTGGTCCTCTGCTTTTTGACTTGGCAGGGATTCTGCGCTCGTGTAATGTGTGAATCAGTGTTATTTCTTCGCTGCCCGTTGATCTTCAGGCCTCTGACAAACCTGTCGCCAAAGGAATTAAGATGCTCGTGGAGCTGTTAAATCCGCCAACATCCCGACCAATGCAACACCTTTGTTTGCTCAGAGCCCGATCCGCTCCGTCGAGCGGCCCTCGCTTGAACTGGAGCTGCAGCCGTGCGACGCCAAGGCCCTGCTGGACCACGAGCCGGAGCCCGTGAAGACGGTGCTGGAGGGGGTGAACGTCCAGCGGGGCCACGGCCTGGTGAGGGCCGACGACGGGCGCCAGGCGGAGCTGGCCACCGTCGACGTCGACGCCTGGCACATCAAAGAGCACGGAGAGGAGGAGCTGCCTAAAGAGAGCCTGGGCCAGCTGCACCAGGGCGACGCCTACATCGTCCGCTGGAAGTACTCCGTCACCACGCTCGGTGAGTCGCGGGTTTGGAACTCTGGGGGGTGGGGGGGGGGGGGGTTGAGTTCGTTCGGAACTGGAAGCAGGAATTCGGCTTGTACCCGCTGGGTTCACTCTCGTTTTGTTCCGTCAGTGGGTAAGCGGCAGAAACCCGGGGAGCTCAGTGCCGGCACTCCGGGGAGAGAGAGGACCGCCTGCTTTTTCTGGCAAGGCAGCCAGTCCAGCATCAGTGAGAAGGGAACTTCTGCTCTGATGACAGTGGAGCTGGGCAGCCACAGGGGCTCACAAGTGGGTATCGGTTCATCACAGACGCACAACAAAATGTCCTTTTTTAATGGTGAAGTTCAAGCTCATAGTCAACTTGTGTTCCAAGTAGCACGTGTGTGTGTGTGTGTGTGTGTCTCTGCATCTGTTGTATCTGATTGTCTGTCCAGGTGTTGGTGAGTGAGGGAAAAGAGCCTCCGTGCTTCCTGCAGCTCTTCCAGGGCGGTTTGATCATCCACAAGGGCAGTAGAGAAGATTACGCCAACAAGACAGGTTAAAAAAACAATCTTCATTGTTTTCAATTTACTGCGACTTAATCATCATTCTTAATCTCAAATAAACACTAAATTATTGCAACGATTTCCCTCAGCTGGCTGGCGGTTGTTCTGCGTCCGGGGGGAGGAGGAGGTGGAGGCCTCCCTGGTGGAGGTAGATTGCCAGCACGCCAGTCTGCGCTCTCGTGCCAGCCTGGTGCTTCTGAACGCCCAGAAAGGCCTCCTGTTCTTGTGGCACGGCTGTAAAGCCCACGCCGGCGCCAGGCGGGTGGCCAAAAGAGCTGCGGACAGAGTCACCCAGAGGTGAGGAGAAGGCAGACAAAGATGAATGGATGGCCGCCGGGTGGACGCGATGTTGCGGACCGACGGTGTTTCTGTGTTCGCCTTCTTCCAGGTGTCCCTCTGAGTTGGGTCTGAGCAGCAGCAACAGCAGCGTGGAAGTGGAGGAGGTGGAAGAGGGATCTGAGCCCGCCGAGTTCCAGAAGGCTCTGGGCCCGCAGGACACGAAGGCCTACGACTGTATGCTGCAAGGCGAGTCGGCTTATATGCACCGGATGGATGGAGTTATTCTTCATTGGCTGCTCGCGTTCGGTGTGTGACGAGATCTGTGTGGGTGTGTGTGTTGTCTCCAGATCCAGGAAAGTACAACTTCACACCGCGGCTGTTCCGGCTGAGCGCCAGCTCCGGGCTGTTCGAAGGGGAGGAGCGCCTGTATCCTGCCAGAGTGACGGAGGGCGTCATGGCGATGCCCTTCCTGCAGGAGAACCTCTACTCCTCACAGCAGCCAGGTACTATTCACACCTTTTGAGAAATGTTCCATTTTCACTGAGTCGCATCTTTATTATTTGTCTGATGCATTCCATGAAGATAGAAGTTCTAAATAATCAAGATTAAATAGCCAGTCAGAGTTTGGGTTGTCACCTGACGACAGAAAAAAGCACGACAAACCAATCTCCGACCGATAACCTCTCCGAGGCTCCTCTGTTGGTGGATGTGTCGTGTACTGTAACCTTTTTGCCTCTCCAGCCCTGTTCCTGCTGGATAACCGGATGGAGGTGTACCTGTGGCAGGGCTGGCAGCCCGACGACACGCAGTGTACCGGCTCGGCCAAGATGCGCTGGAACAGCGAGAGGAAGTGTGCCATGGAGACCGTGCTGCATTACTGCAAAGGTCACAGTTCGTCTGTGTGTTCCATTATTGATCCACTAGGAGCCCAACTCCTGTTTTTCATATCTTCCTCGCTGTGGTTTGATTTATAGAGAAGAACCCTCGGCGCCCCCCTCTGGCGTATCTGGTCCTAGCAGGCTGTGAGCCGCTCACCTTCACCAATATCTTCCCATACTGGGAGAAGGACACCAGCATCATAAAGGTGGGAAAATCATTTTTAATCATTTTTTTTATATATATAGTGATGTCTCTGATCCAAATAATCCAACAGATACAGTAAAGTCAGGCAAGAAAATAAAAAGGTATTTAACAGACGACAGTGAAATATGAAAGGAAAGTAATGTTAAGTCTCTGTAGCAAGCGGCCTTAAATTCACCATCTTGGATTGAGGCCAATGTCACGTCAGCGAACTCCAGAGTGCCGTATTATTATTTGCACATATTTTGATTTAAGACGCTTTCCACAAATCGAGTCATGGAAACTGCAGCGCTTCCGTCTCGTGTGCGCAGACGCAGAGCTCCAAGAACAAGGTGATGTTGGTGAAGGAGGCGCTCGCTCAGCTCAGCAAGCTGCAGTACTCCATCGAGGAGCTGACCAGCAAACTGCTGCCGGAGGGAGTGGACCCTCTGCGGCTGGAGGACTACCTGTCCGACCAGGACTTCAAGGTGGGGAACACGCACAAAAAAACAAATCTTGTTCTCCTGACAAATGACTTCATTGCGGCTGATTGTCCATCGAGAGTTTGGATTAACGAGAGTACCAGCCAGCATACACGCATGTACACACACTTCTCTCGTATAGAAATCTACCCGTGTGGACATAAACGTTGTCGCGTAATTGTTATTACATCAGGCCTCTTGTGACGTTTGTCGTCCTGTTCCTTGATGTTTTTCAGACGCTTCTTGGGATGAGTCGAGTTGAGTTCAACGCTCTGCCAAACTGGAAGCAAAAGAATCTGAAGAAAAGCAAAGCCCTGTTTTAAAACTTTCTTTTTGTACTAAAATGTTTGTTTTTAATGTTCCTGCAGCTTTTATAACATTTGAGAGAGAATTATATCCTCATTTCGTAATGTACAAGAACAGCAGACATATAATTTTGTTGAAATATTGATCTATTTCATGTGTCTCTGAAATATTTTAGCCGATCATTATGTGCAATTATTAACCTTTTTGATGGCAAGATGTTTTCCCTGTATGGCCTAAATAGTTACACTCACATTATAAATATGTAATATACTATAAATGAATGTGTTTTTACGTAATGACACCACACTGTGTCAACCTTCACGTGAGAGTGTGTTTGTATCAGAATTGCCAATGTTGTTACAATGTAGGGACTTATTCATTGTAAAAGACAGCTGTGTGCAACTGGATTAAATCCTCTAGCAAAAGAAGCAAATCAAGTCAAAGTTCGGAGAACAATCCCCACGACCTGTGAAAGCAACGCAGTGCATTAGGATTGAACTCCTGACGTCTGACTCGCATGGATATAAATGCAAATATGTATTTTAACCGTAAATGTATTCCGAAAGTAAACTCTGAGATCCCAAAGAAAACGGAGACAACCCGTCGCATGGCGGAGACTCGCTGCCGTCGGCTCCCCTGAAACTGGCCAATGACTTTTTGTTTGTTTGGTACTGAATACTTTGTGGTTCTCATGAGTATCCGCCCGTGTGTCAGTAATGTCAGCCCTCATCAAGTGGTTGCTAGGGACCAAATCAAATCGTTTTGTCGTGTGTGCGTGTGTGCGTGCGTGCGTGCGTGTGTGTGTGTGGAGCGAGAGTATCTGGAGTATAAACTGCCTTTTTATAGCTGGAGCTGACACCACAAGCATGTGATGCAAATGTGATGCGAGGGTATGTTATGCATAAAAAATACTGCCTGTGATTTCTGATTTCGGAGAAGAAGAATTGCGTAACAATTGTGTTTTCATCTTTTTTGTGATACATAAACTCGTCACTGCGTGTGGAGACGGCTTCCAGAGTATTTCTTGTATTTCATGGCACATTAATGGTCAACATCGGTGGTGGGGAAATGAGATATTGATGCTCAAGATTTCCCTTTTAAATAAAGTATTGTAAAAAATATTTGGTTGTGATCGTTTTTTTTAAAAGCTTGTTGTCTCTCGAAGAGATCTTTAACTTTCTTCATAGTGACACCTTTTTGTTTTTAAGCTCCGGCGAGTAATAAACTAGTTTATCTGAGCTTGGACACTGACACTATTTATGTTAGGAGGAACACCTGTGCCCGACAGGTCAAAATGTTAACTAGGAGAAGGTGTCTGCTGCTGATGCTTGGATATATTTCTTCTAAATCTTGAATGTATTAATACTAAAATACTCCAGCAGTCATGTCTGACTGCTGTTCGCTCAGCAGGCCCGTTTTTTCACATCCTATTGTACTACGGATTTTAGAAATACTGAGGATTGGCCAACAGGATGTGCACACGGATGCCTTTCCAACGTGTGTCATTGTCTTTCCCAAAATACTGCAGTCTGCATTTAAAATGTCACTTTTTTTTTAGTTATCTGCTAAACATTATGTTGAAATGTCGAAATACACATCACAATATTCCTTGACAACCTACCTAAATTCCTGTTTTATTTTTTATTCACCAATTACTTCCTGTCTTTGTCTATTGGTCCCTCACCTGTTTTCAGTATCATCACTATTTAAGCCCCAGATATTTGCCCACCTGCTGCCACAATATAATGAAGGACAACTGGTAGGATGCAGAATGACCTTTAATGAAATTTGAATATCAATTTATAGCATTAAAGTTCAGGTCGACTCCAAGGCCTCACTTTATTCTCCAGTATGAATCATCTGATGGACCTTCAAACTGCCTCTTTGATTGAAACTCCTCCCACACTGCTCACAGGTGAAGGGCTTCTCTCCAGTATGAATCATCTGGTGTCTCTTAAAATTGCCACGGTAACTGAAACTCCTCCCACACTGCTCACAGGTGAAGGGCTTCTCTCCAGTATGAATCATCTGATGGACCTTCAAACTGCCTCTTTGATTGAAACTCCTCCCACACTGCTCACAGGTGAAGGGCTTCTCTCCAGTATGAATCATCTGATGGGCCTTCAAACTGCCTCTTTGATTGAAACTCCTCCCACACTGCTCACAGGTGAAGGGCTTCTCTCCAGTAGGGGGGACACAGGTGGACGGGCCTCCTCCGACATCTTCTGAGGAGGTCGCGGCGCCGCAGGGTGGTTCCTCCACAGCGTCGGGACCCTGACGTGGATCCACCTGCTCCCCGGTGAAGCTCTCCTCACCCTCCCCACGGGGTCCTGCTGGTTTTGTGGACGTCTGTTGTGAAGGAAAAATATTTCAGACAAAAAAAGAGGGTCATAGGATATTCATTGGTAGATCCCGTTAATTGTACCCCACAATACATATTTCACATTACATTTATATTAAAGGACACCGAACATGTTCACGTCCAGGTGCATACTCATTTTTTGGGGTTTCTTCTAAAAAAAAGTATATAATAGGATGTATGTCGGAAAGTCTCTGTTTGGGCTCTTTCAGCAGTGGGTTGCTAGGCAACGGCTTCGTTTCATATTTTAATTCTTGTCAGCTGACTTTTTTTTTTTTTTACTTTAAGTAACCCATTTGTAAAAACCTTTGGCTCGCATGTCAACAAAATGAAGCATGTATTTTACCTCTGATGAGCTCATCGCGGCGGTCATCTTTTCTTCTACATGTCCCTCCATCTGAGAGTTCCTCCTGAGATCGTGAAGTGAAGACATTAAGAGAACATGAATGAACAAGTGAGCAAGAGCAAGATCATCCAAGTCAGACACACACAACTCCGAAAGAGACCTCACGGGCTTCGTTGCCTGCATGTTTATACTGTGCATCTTTTAAATAACCACAGTCCAACAATGAATTAGATCACGTCAACTACGTCTACAAAGAATCTGTGACATCGTTTTCAATGAAATATATTCAACGGCCTCTGACAAGTCTTTGATATTTATTTCTATCATACAAAGAGAAGAGTTTACAATAACAACTGTATCACGTGCGAACATATCAAAAGAAATGTGCTTGTTATCAATAAAGCAATAAGTTTGATGAATCCGCCGCTCATCGAGAGAAAAAGCACAGAGAGAACAATCATGACTGAAGGAAACTCGTTTCTGCTCTTACCGTTTTTCTGAGTTGACAAACTTTAACCTGCCAGGTAATCTGGTGTCTTTTCCTCACTGAGACTCAAAGATGCATTGATGGTTTCCATGGTAACCGCTGGCAATAGTTGACTCAAAATGGAAAAAAAATATCTTTTCAAAAATAAACATAACACATAAACAACTAATATAAAGATCCCTAACCTACTGAAAATCCCTAGCATATACAGTATATTATACCTGTCAATCAAAACTGAATAAATGTTGACACTCAAATGTATTTTTATATTGCAGAACAATGTACACTTTTTTAAGCAAAAAATAATGTGTGTAAATTGTGGTATTGCTCCAGTGTTGCGGTGGTCGAGTCAGTGTTTTTTCCCTGTTTCCCTTTTGAAAATGTTTTATTATTCTTTGAATTCACGCACAAACTATTTGATCACACCTGAGCCGTTGACTTCCCCTTTGACTCCGTTTCATAACTTAATTTTGACATTTGCATTATTGGTTCTTATGCATCAGAAAATTCCAACAAATCTTCATATCTTCATATTCAGACGTATGGGTGTTATGATGATATTTAGTCATCTATTCTGACTTTCCTTCATGATTACTGAATTGTTGTCCAATACGCATCACGTTAAGTGTTTCTCAACCTCACCAAACAAAACCTTAAACAAATGAAACCCAGCTTCACGGTAAAGAAAAAGAGGAGCAGGGATCGTTTTCTTATTTTTACTGCGACCAGAGCGAACGGTGTCGTCAACAAAGAATGACCTACAGGATCAGGATTTAGAAAGAAACAATGCTTTATTTTTGTAAAAGATCAATAATCCCCATAGAAAAATCCACATAGCGATCAAACTGCTGTTGCCTTTATTTGGTCAGATTTAGAGAGAACTCACTTTTACAAACGTTAATATTCTTGGGCCTTTAAAACGGAAATATCTTTAAAAATCTAAAGGGATGTTTCATTGTCATTGTTATACAGCACTATTATATAAATATAATGGTAGAATAGTCACAAGACTCTCTGTAATTATTGATTCATTGGTTCGATGCCTCTCTTCTTCTCTCTGACCCGCGGCCGTCCTCTCGGGCTCTGTTTGGGGCTGAGGGGGTCAAAGGTCACTCTGGTGTTCACTCCCGCGGTGTTTTCCCTGTTGACACATGACAGGGGCCGAGTGTGTGAGTCTGTTGGATTCCATAATCATATTTCTACGACCAGCACAACATTTCCTATCTATCGATCCAAACATGTGGCTTGTGGCAATGCTGGCAAAATAGAAATATTTTCTTTTCTGAAGCTCCTCTCCAAGGTTCAACCAAGTATTCGTTATTAATACATTTTTTCATTCATTTTTAAAGATAAAAATAAATAAAAATATGTGACAATCTAGAAAAGAAAAACCTTTATTGTTTAACTTTAATGCTTCTTATTAAGCGAACAGTGGTGCTCGTGTTTAACCACCAGGGGGCGCTGTCAGTCCATCCTCCAACGGTGCATTCTGTGAGGCTCTCCCTTTACAGCTCTGCAGCCTTTTGGGCCATACATGATCAATGAGTGACGAGCGGAAAATCAAACATATGAAACAAACAAAAACTAAATCAGCTTCTTTTTCCCAAACACACAACAAAAAGGAAAATAAAAAACCCAAAGAGACGCATCACATCTGTGCATCACCAGGGATCACTGACACACTGTTAATCAACACAGGTGTGTATTAACCGTGTATTATTCATAAAACAAACACACATTAAAACTTAAAAAGGTCTGTTATTCTGCAGATTCTCGTGTCAACAAGCAGCACAGTTATTCCCACAACAGATGGCAGGAGGCAGCCGCTCCCTTGAACGGCGACTGAGTGGCTTGTTTGTTCATTTTTTATCTACCTCTCTTGTTTGTTCATTTATTATATAATTCTCTGTCCTTCAAACCTTAATCACCTGCATCGCTCTGCCTTCTGGATCAGGTGCAACAGCGGCCCACGGTGAAAGCTGACATGCAGGCAAACAATGAAGCTGCCACTGCCCTGCGGACCACGTTGAGTATAACTGTGGATATAAGAGGATGAGGATGATTATTCGCCAATTATTCGCCAGTGAAAAGTTGGGAAGCGTCTTTGTGCTGACGTAAACACTTTTAAACCGACAAACCGAGAAAATACGAATCAAGATTAAATCCGATTTGCGTTTTGATTTTGTTCAAATTTAAATCCTGAAAGATGGGATGAGGTCACAGTTGCCAGGTAGATCAAGAGAAAAGTGCATAAGGCCACATCCAACAGAGTTATAGGAGAATTGATTAGCTCACAGGAGGAAAACGAATTACTGTTCTTCTTTGTGAGCTCTCTTTCAGTGCATGATGTTTATTAGCCGGGGCAGCAGAGATTAACGAGGCTTTGAAAAAGGAAGGTGAGTCCTTCAGATTCTCAGAATTCACAAAGCAACAATGCTGGCTTGATTCGAAAGGGAAAAAAAACAAGTTCTTACGACCTTGAACAAAGCATCGTACGCAGCTGCCAATATTGAACTGAACCCCACCAGCAAAAGCCTTAGACGGCCATAGATATGGCCTTAGCTAGTCTTAGATATAACCATAGACATAACCTTAGATATAACCTTAGATATGTCTTAGATATAACCATAGATATAACCATAGATATAACCTTAGATATAGTCTTAGATATAGTTTTGGATATAGTCTTAGATAGTCTCAGAAATAGTCTTAGATATAGTCTTATATAGTCTTAGATATAGTCTTAGATATAACCATAGATATAACCTTAGATATAGTCTTAGATATAGCCTTAGATATAACCTTAGATATAACCATAGATATAACCTTAGATATAGTCTTAGATATAGTTTTGGATAGTCTTAGATAGTCTCAGATATAGTCTCAGAAATAGTCTTAGATATAGTCTTATATAGTCTTAGATATAGCCTTAGACGGTCGTGCCTTTGAGTGCATCGGTAGGAATAAAATAGTATAATGTTGCTAATCAGTGACGCTCTGGATTCCTGCTGTCGATGAACTTAAATAGTAAGGTGCAGCCTTTAGTGTTAAGTTATTTGGTGTATTCTTAAATGCAACAGTTCTTCTTGAGTTTCTTTAAGAAATTAGCCTTGTTTGTGTATCTGTGTGTGTCTGTGATCATGGTAAAATGTGCCTGCAGACACCTTCCAGCAGGAGAGAACTGGATTCGTAGACCGATTTGGTAAGTACAGTAGCGTAGCCGCCGGGCTAGAAGCTGTTACGAAACCCTACAGGTGTGTAGTTGGGATCCTAATGAAAGACAAGTCGGAAGATGAGTGCAGTCGACTCGAGGAAGGCAGGTGGGCAGGAAGTGTGGAAGGAGCCATTAAATGATTTGGGCGTGATGCCACAACTGTACTTTCATCCCCAGTTGACAAATATGTAAATAGACTTTTTTTTTTTTTACAGCAGTTTGACTTCAAGTAGGAAAAGTGACTAAAAACATGAACTACAGCAATAGAACAAGCAAACACGTGCATGGCACACCCGTTAAGGGTCAGGGCAGCGGCTCCCACTGACACGACTGCTGAAGTGACCATTTATACTGTGTGATGTGTGATGTCAGCCGGGGGTTTCTAGGCAGCAGATGGTGACACACACACACACACACACACACGGCTCCACCGCATCAACAACAAGTTAGGACCAACAAATCCACACCCTTCCCATTCCTAGACCACCCTCTGACAAAAGGGTACTGTACCCCACACGCATGCCATCACCACACACACACCCACACACACACACACACACACACACACACACACACACACACACACACACACATCTCCCTGTGACAAAAGCCTGACTGTATCGACCGTGACATCAGTCCCTGCTTCCTGCGGATGAGAGGAGAACTGCGGATGACTGATTGATTGAGAGATCTTCCTCCTTCACACGTCCCTCGTTTCAGCCCGTTCATCATCGTCCGACAGAGAGAGAGAGAGAGAGAGAGAGAGACCAGCACTGACCCTCGAGTCACCCAGAGGGGTTTTAGACCACGTAGCGCTGTGGTCCTGGCGTTAGGACTCATGCACAGGGCAAGAGGAAGTTGGTTGGCTTGACTTAAAAGTAATTGTTAGATGACCTTGTCACTCTGAATATCCAGGTAGCAGTGGAGCTGCTGGACAAGAAAATGGCAAAAGTTCTTGATTTTTGCCAATTTGTTAAGCAATTACAAGCAGGTCCTTTTTTTTTTCTCGCCTCTCAATTTTGTGTGTTTTGTCCACGGTGTGCTCCTGTGCACGGTGTGCACGGTGTGCTCCTGTGCACGGTGTGCACGGTGTGCTCCTGTGCACGATGTGCTCCTGTGCACGGTGGACCTTTGCTCCGATCCCCCCTGCCATCCCGAACAGGATAACAGTGAAAGGTCTGACGGTTGGATTGATTTCTGCACCACTTAATATACATGTATACTTCAAGTACAAATAGTATACCTTCAACTTCACTACATGCATTTGACTATATTAGTTACTTATAAGGCAACATTTTAGATTCTTGCTAAGAAATATTATTAATAATAATAATAATAATACATTCATTTATTGTATTTGATCAAGTATGTCAGTAGTTACATTAGCAGAACCTTTACCAGCTGCAACAATAAAGTGATTAAGCCAATGAACACATTAATAATAATAATCATTATTATTAATATAGGCCTGTTGTAGTAAATTGAAACAGGCCCTGTATTCAAGTATACTTGAATGCAGGACTTTTTTACGCTGTGCTCCGGTGACTAATGTTCACATACGAACGGTGGCGACGCGCAGCGTGGTAAACGGCACGCGGCCAGTGTTTCGGGTGAATTGCTGATCTCCCCGGGCAACAATCGTGCCGGGAACAGGTGGCCCCTGTCAGAGAGAGGAGTGCCGGGGGCCCCAGGAAGCGCGGCGGTGCGGATGAGGGGTGCTGTGAAGCGGAACCACTGCCGAGGAAATATGCACTGAGATATTCGGTATTCAGTTTTATGAAACTGTACAAAATAGGCTCAGAGAGTCTGTAACTGACGGGAAATCGCTGTAAATCACCGAGCCGCTCATTCTACCAGCCCTGATGTGCAAAGTGTGATAATATT